AGGAGGGAAGCCGCCAGTGATGCTTTGGGAAGAGGGGCGGTCAGGGGTCATCACGGCTGGCCGGGCAGGGGTGGGGTTAGGGCTGGCGTGTGGCCGTGGGTCTGGGGGTTGTGGAAGCACAGATGAGAGTGGCCCTGGGGCGTGGATCACCAAGATGTGGAGCAGATGCGAACCCTCCTTGGGGGTGGGGGTGGGACCGGGGTGGCAGGACCGGGCTGGGCTGAGCTGTGGCTCCAGAGCTGCCTTGGGCCAGCTCTCCCCACCTCGGCTACCGCGAGGTGACCAGTAGGTTAATGCCGTGCCTTCCCGCTTCCCCCCAGTGCCAGCTAGGAGTGCTGCCCCTGGGCACTGGGAACGACCTGGCCCGCGTGCTGGGCTGGGGTTCGGCCTGCGATGACGACACCCAGCTCCCTCAGATCTTGGAGAAGCTGGAGAGAGCCAGCACCAAGATGCTGGACAGGTGAGTGGCCAGCACCCCTGCGCAGTTGGGCAGCTCACCTTGACCAGGTGCTCCCAGCCCAGAGCCCTGGAGACCAGGCTGCGCCTGGAGTCACACGTAACATCTGCCTCGGGCAGGAACTCCCTTCATTGGTGGCGGCCGCTAACTTGACCAGGTCATGGTAATGACGGACCCAAAGAGGCTGGGTTCGGGGCGCCCGGCTCTCTGGGGCCACCAGAGAAGGCAGGTGGCTGGGCCGCCTTTGGCCTCCGCTGATGACCGCCGGGGGCCCTGTCCCTCGCGGAGCCCCGGCTGCCCCGTGTCCTGTCTGCAGAGGCTGCGGGGGTGTGTGGGAGGTGTTGGGGCTTTGGGGAGCCCGTCCTGGTTCTGGGCACCTGGGTGCCAGCCTTGGAATGTGCCTGCCGTGCGCTGTGCGGCCGTACAGCCCAGGCCGCTCGGCCCGCTGCCCGCTGCCCCCCGTCTTCTCGTGGGGAGGAGACTGCCCTCGCGGCCTGCCGGGCGCCCGGGAGGTGCGCTGCGGGGCGCCCCCTCCCTGGCCGGCTGAGGGCCCTGGTGGGGGCGCTGCGTGTTCTTCCATGAGAGGGGAGCCGAGCACAGCACGGGGCAGGGAGAGGCCGTGGCGGGGAGCCCGCCCTGGGGAGGGGCGCGCAGGGCCTGGCGGGGGCGCTGACTCGCGCCTTGCTGTGTGCAGGTGGAGCGTCATGGCGTACGAGACCAAGCTCCCTCGGCAGGCCTCGTCCTCTGCCGTCACCGAAGTCTTGAGCGAAGGTTCTGAGGTATCTCCCCGTGCCCCTTCCCGTGCCGCCTCCCGCCCGGGGGCGGCCACTCCCTGAGCCCCCACGGTGGCTGCGGAGCTGAGGCAGACCGCGGCCGAGCATGTCTGGTGGCCTCTGACGACCTCGAGGGCTTCGGGTGTCTGAGGCATCCCGTGTGGCCCCAGGTCTCGGGGTCCTCCTGGTTTCCTGGGACCCCTGTCCAGGCGCGCGCCTGCTCTGCCCCTCAGCTCCGTGTCCCTGCCGCTGACACCAGGGCGAGCCCTCAGGCCCCTGCTGCCGCCCCCCTGGCCCCGGCTCTAGGCCCCGTGACCCCGTGCGCCGGCCGCCCACCCACCACCCTGCAGCCTCCGGCGCCCGCCGGCCGTGCCAAGCTCTCCTCTCGGCTGCGATCCTAAGATCCAGGGCGCGTCTCTTCCGTGGCGCTGGGCCGGAGCGCGCGCTGGGTCGGCTGGAGGTTGCTGAGAGGAGAGAGGCTCCCCCGAGGGTCAGGAGGCTCAAGGCCGGTGGGCCGGGGAAGCGGTTGGCAAACTACAGCTCCCCGGCCCATGAGAGCGAAACGGTTCGTGCGCGTGAGAAAGAGCCGTGCGCGGAGGCCCTAGCTGTCCAGCTGATGGGGCCCGCTGCTGCTGGCCAGGCCTGAGGGGCAGGGGGGCAGGGACAGGGATGGGCAGCGGCCGTGTGGAGAGCAGGAGGCGGGGTGGAGGCGCGGGTGCAGATGTGTTGCCAGACCGAGCCGGCTGGGCGGGAGCGGGCCCCCAAGTCGGTGCCGCTCTCCCAAGGCTGGGATCTAGGTTAGCGGGCGTGGACTGCGGGCTCTGGGGACACCTTGGGGGTGCGGTAGTCCTGGGGCCCTTCGGGCCTTCCTTCCTAGGCTGACCGTCACCCCACTTATTTTGGGGTGCTATAGGTGCAGCAGATTCTCTTCTATGAAGACTCAGTCGCCGCCCATCTTTCCAAGATCCTGACCTCCGACCAGCACTCGGTGGTGATCTCCTCGGCCAAGTGAGTGCCCGGCGGGGCCAGGGGTCCCCCGTGTGGGCGGCTGGTGTCCAGCCAGGACTGGCTCTAGGGGCCGCCTTCTGCATGTCCCCTGCAGAGTTCTCTGTGAGACAGTGAAGGACTTCGTGGCCCGGGTGGGGAAGGCCTACGAGAAGACGACAGAGAGCTCGGAGGAGTCGGAGGTCATGGCCAAGAAGGTGGGTCCCTGGGCCCGCGAGGGCTCAGGATGCAGGGGCCCCTCCGCCACTTCCTTTTTCTCTTCCAGTGCTCAGTCCTGAAAGAGAAACTAGACTCACTCCTCAAGACCTTGGACGACGAATCCCAGGCCACGTCCTCGCTGCCCACCCCGCCCCCCACCATTGCTGAGGAGGCGGAAGATGGGGATGGCGGGGGTGGTGGCTGCAGCCCCACGGGGGACCGCTCCGTGGGCTCGGCCTGCCCAGCCCGGCCGCAGATCTTCCGGCCCCGGGAGCAGCTCATGCTGAGAGCCAACAGCCTGAAGAAGGCCATCCGCCAGATCATCGAGCACACGGAGAAAGGTAGCGGCCCCGGGTGGCCCGGGCGAGGGCACTGGCGGAACGAGACCGCTGGGGCCAAGCCAGCCGGCCCAGGTCACCTCTCGCCGCCTGGCGGCCCCCACCCTGGTCATGCCGGGGGCTCATCTCCCTGTGGCCTGTGCCCGTGGGGTCCAGGGCAGGACCGATCCTCTGCCTCGTGTCCAGGCGGCCACAGCTGACGGCGGGCCCAGCCTGCGCAGCAGTCAGGCCGTGCAGGTGGGGGCTCGCCCCCTTTTCCTAGTCAGCTTGCCGAGCTTTGGACGGGCACACTGACCGCTGACCCTCGTGGCCTCCGGCGCGCCTGAGCTCCCCTCCCTCAGCAGTCTCTTGTCTCGGCTCTTCCTCGTGACCCCAGGAGTCATTCCTACCCCTCCACCCACTGCCTGCCCTGTCCAGCCTTGCCTTGCCACTCGGGGCCCTGGCCCCGCTCCTTCCCGCAGGCAGGCCCTGGGCACGTGCCACCTCCCCTCCGCCCGGCCGCCGTCTGGCTCCCTCCTCGAGGGGCCACCTCACTGCCCCGCTGTGCCCCCCGGGCCCTCCCCCCCTCCGTGCGTGCACACACCCAGGACCAGGACCCAGGCCTCCTCCGTCCTGGTGTGCGGGGCGGCGGGGCAGCTGGGGCCTCTGCCTCCGCTTGAGGACGCTGGGGAAGCCCTGGCGTGGGGTCCGCGCGGGCGCCCCGCGCGTCTTCAGGGAGCCGCCCCGCTCAGGCCGCTCTGCCCTTGCAGCCGTTGACGAGCAGAACGCCCAGACCCAGGAGCAGGAGGGCTTTGTCCTCGGCCTCGCGGAGTCGGAGGCGAAGAGAGACCAGAAGCCGGACGGCAGGACATGTTCCGGCGAGAGCGGCGGGGCCGCCCAGGCCAGGAGCCTCCGCAGAGGTAGCCGGCCGGAGGCAGTGGACGCCGACTCCCGCGAGGCCGGAGCCCCTCCTCGGGCTTTGGCCCC